CACCTGTGTACCCCCAAATGCATTGCCGTATATCTAACACAGTCCCTAGATGCCAAGTTTTGCACGACCCTAGTATGAAGTTATAAACTCAAGTCCGCTGCACATTAAGACACGGCTCCCACTCTCTTTTTTAAGGAGGTGCTAATTACTTTGTCACACTTTTCAGCGGGTTGCGACAACGACGAAAACTGAACTACTTGACGAGACACTTGCCCAGTGATGCAACGAGAGCCACACAACGCGTCGGCCTCGTTTCGTAACGTTCTTATAAGCGATCTGGGGTAAGCGTAGTGTTAGGGACGTCAAAAGCAGGTTAGCTGAAGCAGTAATCGACTGCCTTGTATTCGGTTATTGTGTGATTTTAATAACTGCGCCGAGACAGAGCAGGCAGCAAAGTGGCTGAATGTGGTCTGGAGGACCGGAGAGATGTTCCCGTCAGGGCAATGAAAGAGGCCATTTGGAAGACCTAGACGTAGATATTAAAATGCATCTTAAGGAAAGGCAAGGAATTTCGTGACCGGTTGAGCGATTGCCACTTCTCAGGACGGACTGTGCTCCATGTAGTCAGTGTCCATGCCGTCAAGTAGAGAATGGCAAAAGAATTACGAATGTTGAGTTGACGAGGACAGTACACATCTACTGTAGTTGATAAAGATTAATCAAATAAAGTCATAAATTATTCATTCAAAGATGATATATCTTGGAGTCTATTGTTTTATTAAAGGGTTACACCGAACTGCGAAATATTGCTTCTTATTCAGAAGATCTGTTGTTCGAATCTCGAGACGGGGAGCGGAGAGTGTGACTGAGATCCTTTGAATTTTTCATCTATCTTCTAGAAAAAAGAAATGCTGAGATACGTTCTCAGATTAGATTTCGGATCACTTATCTTCGTCTCCTTGTTTTAGTCAGTTGTGTTAAGGACTGCTTTATCTAATGTCTTTGGGAAGTTTGTGGTCCAGTACATCGCCGACCGGAGGAGCTCAAGACAGCAGTCTTTGCAAAAGCCAAACTATTTTTTAATGCAATCTCTAGTTGATATTCATACAATCAAATATTAACCATTATTTGTTGTAAATTAAATAGCACTGCTTCCTCCACCTCTCTACTTAGGTTATACCCTGTTTGTAGGTCCTGTGACGTTACGAACCGATATTAAAAACTTAACTTACTTGCCTTCCTATCTTTGTTTCTGTTTTGCTGTAATTTCAATGTTACTAACTAATTCAGCAGATTAGACCGCGATGAGTACCTAGCGGCGTTTCGGCTTCTAATTTTCATTTCGTTCAACCCCACTTTATGAGGAACACCGAAATCCGTTCTCTAGAAACTCCAGTGTAGCATGAATTATCATAAATATCAGTTCTTCGTAAGTTAACTTTGTTGTATAATTTACTGTTCAGTGTACAATAACACAGACACATTATTCATGCTACGTGTGGCGTAGAAAATTCGATATGTTTATATTTTACAATCTTGCATTCTTTTCTTAACAAGCGATTTTATTCGGTTGAATAATTTAGTGATTAGATGAGAGGTGGTGGGTGTCCCTTAAGGTTCACTGTTGTTGGTCTACGTAACGTTTTTGTACCGAGAGCGTAACTAAAGTTCTTACCGCCAAAACCTGCCAGACCTTTTTGAGATAACCGGTTATATAACAATATAAGACGAATGTAAGTGTGAAAGCAAAGACACTGTCTTAGCCATATTAATTTGGTATCACAGTAAGGTATGACTCGTTTCTCACATATGAAATTAAATAACTATGCATAATAACTAGATAACAGTTCTAGGAGACAATGGGTTTGTAGAGTCTAAAGATAAACAGAACCATATTTGCGAGTCCGGGGTTTCAACGTTTGTTGTAGGATGCTCTGGGTATATCATAACCGTGTCTATCAATTAGTAGCTAAAATTGTTGAACACTTCCTTTTTTCGACCATGAAGTTTCTGTCGATCAGAAACTCATATTAGAATAGCCCATTGTTTATCGAATTGGCTCGTTCGTGGCGTAACTAACCCCACTGAGCAAAGTCCTTATTGATAAAATAATTATCGTGGTATTACAAGCGTTAATTTCGGACAGGCCGTCACACTCATTATTTATCAATCGTCTATTCTTCGGATTAAAGATGTTAATTTTAGACACTAAATCATATATAAACCTCAAGATAACACTTGCACACAGGCAGATTAACCAATTGCCAGGCGTTGCACTTGGGTGTATTAATTTCGCTTTTCTGTCGACTTCCATCAGTACGTTCTTGTTGTAATGACTGCGTGGAAATAGACGTACAGAATTCTTTTTGTACCAGACTACAATCTGATAACTGAACCTGGCATTCTGGTATGATGTATCTATCTTTCGAATCGTGATCCTCGTACTGGCGCAGACGCCAAAGCATGGCTGCAGGGCATTATGTGAAATACAATCACCTGCTGCATTTACAGACTAATATTCACGCTCCTCCGGGCTCATTATCAATTTCGAAATAGAAACTTCATACAAATTACATGTCATGTAGCCATATGATTGCACCGCCTGTGTAATTAACAACAGTGCGAATGTGTACACCAACTGATTACGCTTAGGTTATTTTCAAAATGCTTTATTTCCCCTTTTGTACACCTCAGTTATCTTAATGGTCATCTATTGTAGATATAAATATACTGTTGAAAACTTAGTCTTTCTGCCCATCTAATAATGCACGATGCCACAAATATATTTTTGTTGTATTTAATTATGGCGTTTCTGGAAACTACTGACAGTTTCTCTCACAATGTGGTTATGGCTAAATGTAATAATAATATAGACTCTTTTATCACCGCCCCCCCGAGGTATGCGATAGTCCTGATCATGCAGCACGTCGTTACATCCCGATCCCAATTTATGAACTTCATGTCTGACCCCGCGGTTGTCTGGTGTCGGAGGAAAGGTAGTTCATTCTTATTACCCTCCGGTATCCTAATTATGAAGTGGATGCTTTCCACTGGATTAATACACTAAAATTATTTCTGAACACAAACAGAGAAGAATTAAAGCCTTCAGTCTTCTATTTCGCTTTATCCAAAGCTTTTCAGACCGTAGGTATGATATTATCTAGATTTTTCTCGACCATAGCTGTGAAATAAATTCTGCTTATAGTGTGAGGTTATAATTTGGGAAAGAACGTGTTTTGACCATTACCTGAAATCCTCCACGCTCCAGTGACCATGTATATGCCTTCTTGCTTAATAATATAGTGCGTGCATGTAACAGGTACGCTGGCATTGAATGAAGGAAGAGGGGTCGATCTGATTTCTGTGAAACTAGGAAGTAATTCCACGTCCCATTTCGGTCTGCAGTGTTTGTTTGCTTTCTGGTTAAAATTTTCACACCTTCCTGCAAGTACCAGATTTAACCAGAATCTGATGAGCGCGTATCGAAATGTAACATGTCTATAGGCAGATGGAGACGGACGGGTGTCTCCTTTTGTCACCTTGTACAAAGAACGCACGGAAAATTTTAAAATCAACATCCGTCAATTCTTTATAAAGAAAATTAGCATCTCATCTTGAAATAAATGATGGCCTTTCGGTTAGTTGCACCCTTGTATCCATTTTTAGCCCTGAAGATGGAGGTAATACACTTCTCCGAAACGCTGGCATATAGCCAAAACATAATGGCGCAACAACTCAGAAAACCGCCATCTGTATGCTCATCGCCGTGAACACCTTAAATTCTACAGCTCACCCTGAGTTTCTCATTTCTTCCAACTGGAAAAGAGCTTAAAATAAAATGTGATAGTGAGAAGGAATCTGCAGGAGAAATGACTTAGCTCGATTATTTTAATGACGTTGTTATAACAGCAACGTTGTTTAGCTCTCAAATGTTACCGATTATTTAACTATGGTGCTTCATCTGCGAAGGTCATGTGGCGTGTGATAATCACGAACGGTGAGTCGGGCGGAGCATGGAACGTGTCATGTTTTATTCTTCTGGAAGCAGGAAGAAAACTAGGAATAACTTCAATCAGGGCAGGCATAAGATGATTTGAACCAGGTACATTGCAAAGGAAAGTCAGAAGCATTAACACTTTCCTACACTTGCTTTGTAATGCAAGTTGCAGAAAATCCGAACACAGAATTATAATGCCAACAGCGGGATAGGAATTTTTGAAATCGGAGATAATACGACTGTTCTCCGTCCTCTTCCTCCGAATTGACCATTACAATTTTTGATGTGGTATTACATATTTAAAACTACGAATTTTGGAATACATGTTACACTTGGCTCAGCGTGTTTCTTCATATTTAAATCAGAGCTTATTTCCTTTAAATATGTGGTTGTACGGACACAAAGGAACTAATTAATATATTTATTTTACGATTTTTGGATTAACTGTCGTCCAGTGGTTAGCAATCTTGCGTCTTATTCGGAAGTAATAACTGTGAAATATTATTCATGCCAGACGTTTGAAACCGAAACTTATCTAAATTGTATTTAAAAGTTCAGTCCGTAACGCCAAAAAAACATAACTATTTTCCATTAAAAGATAAATTATGAAGATTATCGCTGTTTGCAGTAACAATCGTGCGAAGCCGATAAATACGAAATGCAGAGTTAGTTGCTGAGTGTTAAAGGAATAAGTACATAGAGTTACCATTCGGTTTTAATGGGTTAATGGTATTGAAAAGAAGAGTGAAAATTAAAATAAACTTAGATATATTAGACTTAAATTAATATATGATTTAATCTCAAAGTCTGTCCTAACTATTTCACGAGAAATCGCGATGTATTTTATGACGCTTTTTCAGACACCTCCAGTTAACACCAAAGATTCAAGGTTGTGCCTAATACGTAACTTTGTTCAAAACAATAATTAAACAAAATTTAGGTGAAAACGTTATTTACGACAAATGCTTAATTTACATTCATTATTTCAACATCAGACATCTATTTAACACGGTCCCTACCTGGTTTAAAATAAAAAAAAAGTTGCGTAAAATACGTCGCTTACCGTTTCCATAGTTCGGGAAAACGATTTGTTAATCCTCTTTAGTCCAGTCCCAGCACGTTTCCAGTATTCCGATGTGAAGTTGTGTCACAATTTTACACCAGTCTGCATTGAATTCTGTATCTCCTAGTCTTCTTATGACACAAACACTCAGTAGAACTTAAAAAAATACGTTTTAATCAACACTTTGCTCCGAACCTCTGTTCTTACATATTTTCTTCTGTGTTCCTGTTTCAAGACTTTAATTACATAACGTTTTATATTTATAAGTCACTTGGTCCTTGTGTTTGCTGAGTACGTTTCTCCGAAACACCCTTAAACAAAACCTCCTTGCTATGTTACTTCTACAATTAATTGACTTAATCAGTTTTAATCATATTCACTCGTTTTAACCACTAACACTTGCAGGAGGCCACAGCTCGCTGATTCTGTAGCTCTTTCTCGTGAGATAACTAGCTCAGTTTCATAATCTTTAATTCCAATATTCCATTACTTAATCGATCTTTACATTGTTATTTACACTAAACCGGTTTAAGATAATACTGTAGTTTTTCGATGACAGACTGCTATTCTGTGCATGTCATTATGCAGTTGTTTGTTCGTCTACAGTCAACAGAATAGGCGTCCATTTTGAGTCGGATCTGCTACTGTATTGTTGCCGGTGTACGTTGAGATGCCTCTTAAGTCTCCTGTCCTGCCGGTACAGAACACCTGCTACTACTGTCTCTGTACTTCGGCCTCGACCGACAACTTTGCACCAAAAGTAGGCTACTGTGACTCCTCTCTACCACGCATGCGCCAACCACCACTACGACGTATATGTGTACTTTTTAACAACTCTTCTCCTTTGGGATCCTGGGCCATCTTCGGTTTCTTGCAAATTGCTATTTTGTTCGTTAGACATTTTTTAAGGAGAATGGCGATGTGGGCATTCTTGAAGTTTTTCGAGCTGTTTTATGTCCACTTTTTTGGATTATTTGTGACAGTAAGTGGTTCCCGCAATTGAGAAATCACCGGTTTAATAGCATTGGAGCATAGGAGTGGCTTAGTTCTTTAAGAGATTTTTGTTAGTCCCGTATTTTGGATAGGGACTTCGAATGATGAAATGGAGGCGAATGGGACGATAAAAGCTGTGAACAATTTTAAAATTCATTTCAGAATATCTCGTGAGAACTAGAAGAATTCTAGTAATTTCGAGTGTTGAAACACAACTTACTAACTGTATGCTATCATAACACTGGGTCTGACTTAGCAAACCTAAATTACATTGTTGGTTGCTCAAACATCGATAAAATTTAGGTGTTTCGCATAGTGTTTGTTATATTTCAGTACCATTGTCGGCAATTTCACGTACCGATGGCACACCCAGTAGGCTTGTTGTAAAACGTGGTGGGGTGTCCACTGTGTTAACTTTCGGTGTGTTTATTACGAAAACGCCCCGCTTTTCGAATGCAAGGGACGAGTCGACAGAACCGGAAGGGAGCGGACTGACAAGAGAAATTTTCGATGAATCGGGCTGCGTTAATTAGAATTCAAAACACTTTCTCGCTGCAACCGTGATGAATCGAATCGAAGTAGCTACGTTGTTACATCAAACGTATGGCGTACGCTTTAGCCGTTTTGGTGTTCATAATCTCTCTCAACTTTCTATTTCCGAAACTGTTAACGATTGTAATTTATGTTCGTATGTTCCTTTCCATTTCAACTTAGGTATAAAGATCCATGCTCGAGTTTATCAACCTGTTAATTGGACAGATGGCGGATAGACAGAAACAATTTATAGATATTCAAAGAATTTCTTAGAATTGTAGTTGTCGCCACATGCCCGAGATGATTCTTGATGTAACCATCGACTCTTTGCAACTGCGTTATTTATATAGAGCGTGGAATGGAAGAGCGACTTTGAATAATGGATTAGAATGGACGTGGAATGAAGTGTTCGAGGCCTATTTAAAGTACTGTCATAGTATTCGTCTGGACGTTAGGGATTTTTGTGTCATCAGTCGTACAGGTAGTTACTTTAGCTTACGACGTTGCAAATATTATAGGCTTATAATGTCGAATGTGAATGAATGTTTATTGATGTCGTGTTTGGGTTTGGCAGGAGGCGCTTGTGGCTTGTATCAAGCTTCTGATGCGGACTTTTCTTAAAGAGACGGAGAAATCCAACAAAAGCCTTAATCATGATAGTTGGCAACCTAGTCGACGTTTGAAGTGACCAAACCGTTATCCTTTTACCAAACTGCTCAGTACTAGTTACGTACTGAGTAAAATCTAAAACCGTTCCGTGGGTTGATTTGGACAGCCCTGATAGCTAAGAAATGTCCCAGAACAAAGACAAAAGACATGATGACTTGACAACTGCATAATGATTCTTGAATGTTCGCCGTGACATTGCGGCAATTTCTTCAGCTGGGGCGACGTGCGGGAAAGCATAAGGAACGGACTGCAGGAGCCTGTGATTGCTGCTGCGGTGTTCTTAATCGCCCTCCGACTGTGTGCCTTTACAAAGGTGTTTGTTCACACAACCGGCCGGCCCCTTCCCAACTGCCCGCTGTCACCTTCATCTTCCCTTCACGAGTCACTTGTTAAACGATCCTGTGCAAAAGTGGTCTAAGCTTCGGATGCTTTTACCGCATGTTCCTGCAAACTGCCGTGGCGTCTGTAAATTTAACATTATATCGTGTAATGGTTTAATAAAACCAAAGGAATTAAAGTTGAGACCTTTTTTACGGGACGTGCGAAAGACAAATATTATACCCATGACTGTCCTCTGGCCTAAAGCTCCCGTTTGTATTTGTAGAATGTTTTCGAGGAACGTAGTGCTAATCTCAAATTTAATATAAAAATCACTCTGTTTATTTCAGTTACACACTTTTACAATCAGAAACACGCAACAGTGATAAACAGACACTGTAAAATTATTACGTGGAATTTATTTCGTTATCAAATGCCGAGGTCGAGTGGTTGGTGTTCCTTCTAGTTATTTGCGTTTCTCCAATCATTAGTTACCTTACTGCGTATCCTGTCTCCAAATCTTTCCTCAGTGCTACTGTCTTCTCACACATCCTCAAATTTTGTTCTTATGGTAGAGCAGGAATCTGTGTTTCACGTCCTTAAATAACAAAATTTGAACGATATTTCTGTTTATTTCGATCTTCAGTGATTAATTTGCTACGACAGGTGAAGATAAAGGATTCTATACTGAACAGCAGAAGCTCGTGTTCTGGACATAGAAATAAAAGGTCCAATAGTTATTAAAACCACGTGACGTCAATCGAAGAAATGCACTTCGATTAAATATGTGCAGATATTGTCACGGTAAATATAATTTGGTGACACATGTCCCGTGCTGTACATTCCCGGCAGCCAATCTTGGTTTTAATATGCGTGCCGTGTAGCAACTACACACGAGTTTAGGAAAGGAAGCAGATCCAGTTTTTTTGTGCGCGAACCTTGATTAAGTATTTGAAAAAGTGTGCCAAATTTGAGGCATTGGACTGAAACAGCTATTGCTACTTGCTTCAATGCAGCCTACTAGAACTGACGTGTTCCGTGTTAGTAACGTGGTTTGACAACACTTAACCATATAGCAGAAGTTACGTAGCTTCGAATGAGATGGTTAGTTAGAGCCACAAGTTGTGTAGTGTCATATAAAATGTGAGCGTCTCCAATATTTTTTGCGAAACGGTCGTATATACCTGCCAGTCTCAACGACGTCAAAACCCATCTACATAGTAACTTATTAATTCGAAACATCATATTAAAAATAATTAGTTGCATTTGGGATTTGTGACAGAATAAAAGTGAGGCTAAAATATAAATATAATAACGATTTCCATTGAAGGAGTTCTCTTCCGAGGTGGATGTTTTGTATTTTGTTCTACTTCAGAAACTTTCATACGTGTCTAAAGTGAAACTGCTCGGCAAATTTACTGCGTTTCGGTGTAACTACAAACCCAATAGAAGAAGCGAGACACATTTTATTACTATTGTTTCTAAACAGTGACTATTAACACTGTTTTATTACTAAATATAAAAACGATGCATGCCTTGCAAGGATATTGAAATTTTGCTCCCGGCATACGAGGAAGGTTCAGTGGTATTTTATGCTATCAACGCATAGATAGTTAATAAGCGAATGACAAATGTAGAATTAATCCTGTTCGCTCTGCGTGGGATTGGAGAATTCGGAATTGTCACCAAAATAGGAACCGTGTGCCAAATTTGTTATAATAATGTTGATTCTCTTCTTGATTTGTTTCAATACTTTCAGTCTAGCATTAAACTAGTTGACACGTGGAGTCTGTGGAGTAACATTGGACAGCACTTGAAGCGAATTTGACGTGGCAAAATATATATATATATATATATATAATCCTTCTAGTAAATTTCTAGTAAGTGACTCGCTCCGAGATTCCAATTCACAAAGTTCAGAGGCCAAAAACGCTGGAACGCAGTATACCTAATCGCAAGACTGGATAATTTTCGATTCTGGGTGTAGTGTGCAGTTTTGTAGAGCGATGACCTTGAACAGGGCTAGTTTTCTCTTCGCAGCATCGAAGAGATGAAGACCGGATTAATCTAACGTACAACCATACTTAAGTTGCAAGCTGTGCTCTGTGCTCCCAGCATGTGGGCATTGCTTCCCCAGCCGCGTTACACATATTTCACTGTGCTCATTGCGAGGATCGTGTGTCGTGTGTAACTGAACCTCACCTACTGGACCGAGGAGAAGGACAACAGCGTTACGTTTCACACCTCACGGAGGAGTTTTTAAATGGTTATGTCGAATAAGACATATTACGTAATTACAGACTCTTGACAGTCTAAATAACAAGTAACATAGAAGAAAAAATAAGATACTCTAAACACAACTAAATTCGCGGGTATTTAAGTCTAGAAATTAATCCCGAAAATACTAATCTGTTCTTGATGTATTGCTACCGAAATGCAGGGCGCATTTATACACTTCTTTATAGCAATTCCTAATACATCCTTTGATAATAAACAAGTGCTTTGGAATGACAATGATAAATCACAATTATATACAATGCTATTACAAGTAGATTAACTCTGATGAATTGAAGCTCTCATTGCTCCAGAATTTTCCCGTCCTCATTACAAAAATCGAAGTATAAGACTGTAATTGTACCAGTTATTTTATATTGATGAGGGAGTTGGAACAAATTTCAGAGTATTCTCGCTTCGCAATATATTTTTCATTTGTTAACGTTATAGTGGCAAAATCAAGAAGGGTGTGATCGATAGTGTATAAATCTTGCCCTAAAGCCAGGATGGAAGCAGTTAATAACTGTTCTCCATAAAAAATAAGTTTTATGATATTTAAAGATTTAAAATGTCACTACAGAAACCAGCCACTTCACTCCAGTTCACATTTTCACAACCGATTTAAGGTGTCCAGAGACTTAAATTTTTGTATTACGACAATAACGTCAGTGAGAAGGGGGTGTGTGTGTGAAATGAGCTAGTGGCTTAGGGACGCCTAAGATTATTTTGCAGTGATTATGAGAGGAGTCCATCTAGTTTCTTGTCTCGTCTTAATACTGGGTAGATCGGTGTCTCAATACAACGTAGTAGCGCAAGCAGTTCCGTGCTGGAACCTTCGTATGTAGATCCGGGTAGATTCCGTCCTTAATTCTTAAATATTATTTTACAAGGAGAAAAGAAAATCTTTATTCTGCCTCACAAAAGAAAGATGTCATACC